CCCCCTCCCTATGCCCCCCTCCCAGTCGACCCCTCTGCCTGTGTCTCCCTCATTCTGCTCCGGCTCCTCTCCCTATGTCTCCCCTCCACCTGATCCCTCTGCCTGGGCTCCCCATTTTACCCCAACTCCTCACCAGTGCTGCCTCATCCCCGCCCTGACCGTTCTGGTCTGTCTCTGGGAACCTGCTGTCGCACACTGGACTTTCAGCTCTGAGAGGGAAGGCCTGGGGCTGTCTCAGTCTCTACTGTGTCCCCAGCATTGCCTGTAATATGGCTTGGCCCAGGGGAGACATTCTTTCGGGTTTTTTTTTAGTTGGAGTTTCACTCTCTCGCCCAGACTGGAGTGCAGTGGCCGCTCCCGGCCACCGCAGCCTCGACCTGCTGGGCTCCGGCGATCCTTCCGCCTCAGCCTTCCAAGTAGCTGGAACTATAGGCGCGCGCTACCACGCCCGGCTAATTTTTTGCTTTATTGTAGAGATGAGGTCTCGCCAAGTTGCCCAGGCGGGTCTCGAACCCGCGGGCTCAGGCAATCCACTCTCCTCAGCCTCCCAAAACGCGGGATTACAGGCTGAGCCACCGAGCCAGCTGGAGACATTCTTATTTCGTGAGTCTGAGGCAGGGCCTCGATTTTTGTTGTTGTTTTTAAATACCCTGCCCCCATTCTCATGATAGGCAGGGTTGAAGTCTACTGCCAGGCACTGTTCTAAGGGCTCATTTAATCCTTGCCATATCCCTGTGAGGCATAAATATGATTTTCCTCCAGTTTCACAGATGAGAAAACTGAGGCAAGAGAGGCTCAGGCACTTGCCCAGGGCCGCACAGCCAAGACATGGCAGAGGGAGGGCTTGAGCCCAGTGGGCTGACTCCAGAGCCCACATGCCCGTCAACCACGAATAGGTTCCTCTAAATCAATTCATCCCATTTCCTGTAACTTGTCCCAGGCAGTATCTGTAAAATCAGAGGATGAGCAGCAAGCAAACACTTTTTCCTAATACTCATTAAGGCAAGCATATATCCATTTAAAATAAACCATTTCCTCCCATGCCACCCAAATCACCTCGAGCACCCCATTTTGGGAAATGCTGTTCCACACTAAAGCCGGTTGCCTAGGAGAAAACTTCAGGAAGCGGCTTTAATGAGTAGATAAGAATGATTTGCAATTAGCATCAATTGTCTATATGCAAATTAAAGCTCCCAACCACAGGGCCCTCTTTTGTAGCAGCCTCCTCTCCCATTTTATTCCCCTCATTTCTGGGTTCAGCAAATCCTTTTCTCAGACACAGGGTAATTTTATACCTACCCTCCCGCCTCAACCACAATCCACTCCCGGCCTGGCTGTCTTCATATCTTGGGTATGATATGAACCCTTGGTATCCAGGTTCACTAGCACAGTGGGCTGTGCCCAGGTCAGAGGCTGCCACAGTGAACCTGTGATTCCTCTGAAGACGCTATTTTTTTTCCTTACTCTGTCGCCCAGGCTGGAGTACAGTGGCACGCTCACGGCAACTGTAACCTTGACCTGCTGGGCTCCGGTGATCCTTCCCTCTCAGCCTTCCAAGTAGCTGGAACTACAGGTACGCGCCACCATGCCTAGCTAATATTTTGATTTATTGTAGAGACAAGGTCTCGCCCAGGATGATCTCGAACTCCTGGGCTCAGGCAATCCTCTCGCCTCTGCCTCCCAAAGTGCTGGTATTATAGGGATGAGCCATTGCGCCTGGCTCCGCGTCCCTGCCATCCCTCTCAGTGGGCTCAGTTTTACATGTGTCCTCCTGATGACCGACTCTCATCTGCTGCCCTCACTTGGTGGGGGGCCAGGGAGAGGTTGGGGCTGAGTCCACACTTGCTCCTTCTTTCTCCTCAGCTCCCAGCAGAGTCTGGGACAGAAGAAATCCCCAAGAAATGTTTATGAGTGAAATGAATATATGAATGAAAGAATGGAGGAGCTGTTCACAATCGGCCACAAGCTCAAAGATGAAGAACTACTCATCTAAGGAGGCAGAGCAGGACAGAAACCTCACTTGCTCCCTCGGTCTCTCTCCTCTGTCTCCTTCAGCCCTTCCGTGCTCCTTGATTCAAGGAGGCCCTCGGGCCGGGAGCCCTGGGGAAGAATGACAACACAGCCACTCTCAAACACAGAGAACCCTGGCAAGTCATGACACCATTTAAGTAGGGACTGACCAGCATTAAACATTTTTAGACAGATTAGACTAGATCAAAGTTCATCACACACAGGCTGAATATTATTTTGGAAAAGCCTGTTTCACTTTTTTTTTTTGAGTTGGAGTCTCACTCTGTCACCCAGACTGGAGTGCAGTGGCACGCTCAAGGCCACCCCAGTGTTGACCTGCTTGGCTCCGGCGATCCATCTGCCTCAGCCTTCCAAGTAACTGGAACTACAGACACACGCCACCACGCCCAGCTAGTTTGTTTTGTTTTTGTTTTTTTGCGATTTATTGTAGAGACGAGGTCTTGCCAAGCTGCCCCGGCTGGTCTCAAACCCGCGGGCTCAGGCAATCCACTCACCTTCGCCTCCCAAAGTGCTGGGATTACAGACTGGGCCACTGAGCCCGGCCCACTTTTTATTTGACATAGATGCTTTTGTGTAGACAGACACAATTCTACTGTGGATTGTGGTCGGAGGTCAGGCTGTTGCCTGAGTGCAGGTGTCTGTGCAGAGAGGCCAGGGCTTGAGGCCTGCGAAGGCATTAGGAAGTCAGAGGAGATATAGGTCCCTTGTGCGAGGAGGCTCACCACCCTGATGGGGCTCCTGGGTACAGGCTGCTCCCCATGGCATGGCGAGGGAAGGGAAGTGAGGCTGTGGCCGGAGGGGTCAGCACTGGGTCACAGAACCCCAACAGGGCCCTGAGCAGGAAGCCAAGCCCTGTGACTCTGCAGAGCCATTTCCCACCGCTGTGCCATTTCCTGGGAGGTAGCTCATTGCCTTCCTCAGAATCTCAGCGTGCCTGCGGTCCAGATGCCGGGCCTTCTTACTCCCTCCCTCCACTGCCTGCCTGCCAGTGGCTCTCAAAATGTGGGCCTGGGACCAGCAGCACCAGCATCTACTGGGAACTTTAAAAAAACGCACGTTCTCGGGCTTCACCCTAACCTACTGAATCAGAAACTCAGGGTGGGGCCCAGCAATGGGGTTGTCTGGGGACCACTGTCCTATACTATAGAGCCTAGAAGGCCAAGCCATGACCTCCCAGATTTCCTTGGAGCTGGGATGGCCACCTGACACCGGCCACCGAAGGGGCTTCTGGGAAAGTGTTTGCTTTCTCCATAGAGGGGGTCGGGGCGGGGCTGCAGAAATGCTGACCTTTCCCTGTGTTCTCTGCCTCTCAACAAGCACCACAGTCACCTTGACACCAGGAAGACAAAAGCCAGCACGGTAAGGATGGCAGAGCAGGAAAACAGAGCCACTGCCTCGGCCTGGCTCTGTCCTCTCTGGACTTCATGTCAGGGGGTTGTTGAACCTGTGTTTGTTTAAGCCACTGTAGATCAAGTTTCTTATGATCTCCAGCCAAATACACTCCTAACTCTTGGAGTCTGTGACCCCTAGGAAAGCATGAAAATCTTTGGTTTCAGCAGAGGGAGAAGAAAAGAGACAGAAGATCCAAGAGAACCATACAAAGCCAGGGGTTTCTCTTCCTCCACCTGGGGATTCTCTCCCCCCACCTGGGGCCTCTGAAGGCTGATGGGTGGCAAACAGGGCGTGGTCCACGAGTCTCCCAATTCTGTCAACAAACTAGTGAGCAAACATGCATGTTGTAGCCATGTTTCTAGTAATGAGAACTCCACCGTTAGGACCACAGAAGTAGGACTGGGGGAAGCAGAAGGTGGCGAGGCTCCCTTAAAGAGTCGGGCTAGGCACAATACCTTACCTGGGCTGCCTTGGCGGGTCTCGGCTGCCCCCGGCCAGGCCTGTAGGAGTGCTGGAGCCTGAGGAATACAGCTTCGGTCGGTAGGCCTTGCTCTGGCCAGCAACCACTGGGGCGGGGGACACCTCCCGCCGCCGGTCTGTGTGGTGGGGCCGCCCAGCAGCCTCGCGCCCTCCGCCACAAAGGCCCATGCTTCCTGGGGGCTTGTGTGACTTGGCGGGCCGAGGAGCCTTGGCGAGGGACATACAGCTGGGGCTGGAAGTGTAGAGGGTGGTGTCGATGCCGCTGTCACTGGAGCCGCCCTTGGAGAGGGGGTCTTGCTCTGGTTCCAGGGGGTCCAGGGGGTCGAACCAGCGATCGTCGCTGTGGCTGCTGGATGCGTTGCTGGAGAGGGTATTGCTGCTGGAATGACTCGAGTACTGAGGTTCTCCCTGGAAGGCAGGAGAGGTGTGTCATTCCCAGATTCCAGGCCAGGGGTCAATCTTCCCTCCCCAGGTCCTCCCTCCACCTGTGAGCCCTGGAACCAGATGGCTTCAAATCCTGGCTCCCTACTTGTTGGCCATGTTACCTTGGGCCTCAGTTTCCACATCCATAAAAAGGGAGGTGAGGAAAAGCCTTCCTTGTGGGGTTGCTCGTAGGAACAAAGGACATTATGTAGTACGCGATGTGCTTCCCACACCTCAAACTGTTTAAAATTGAGCTCCAGTCTTCCCTCCCAAACCTGTTTCTTCCCTGTGTCAATAATGGCTCCACTATGCTTTCAGCTGCCCTGGCCAAGAGCTGTGGACGCACTCTGACCCTGACGCTGCGTTTGCTCTCACTCACGTCTAATCCAACAGCAAACCCTGTTGCCTGCACCCTCAGAACAGATCCAGGACCAGCCGCTTCTTCCTCCAGAACTCCGCTGTGGTCCTGTCCACCACTACCTCCTGCTGGGCCCATGCAGCAGCTTTCTCCCTGGTCCCCCCATCCCCTTTGTTCCCCACATGCAACCAAAGGGAAGCTGTGAACACCTGCGCTAGAATACGGGCCTCTTGCGCTCGGAACCTTCCCATGGCTCCATCTCACTCAGGGGAACGGCGGAAGTCCCCACCAGGCCTACAAGGCCTGGACACTTTGGTCCTGTGTTCTGGTCTCCAGCTTCATCTCCGCCCTCCCTTTCGACCACTCTGGCCCTCTCACTGCTCTTGGCACATACTAGGCACACTCCTACCTCAGGGCTTCTACACCTGCTGTTCTCTCTTCCTGCAACACTCTTCCCTCAGAGATCTTTATTCAAGGTTTTAGCTTAAAGGTCACTTTCCAAAGGTCTTCTCTTACCACGTGATTCTAAAGCAGCAGCGCTTGTCAGGCTCTTTTTCCTTTACTGGCTTTGTTTTTCTTCTACAGCCAGGACCAGTTCTTTTTTTTTAAATTTTTTTTTCAGTTGGAGTCTCACGCTGTTGCCCAGACTGGAGTGCAGTGGCCGCTCCCGGCCACCGCAGCCTCGACCTGCTGGGCTCCGGCGATCCTTCCGCCTCAGCCTTCTGAGTAGCTGGGACTACAGGCGCACGTTACCACACCCAGCTGATTTTTTGATTTATTGTAGAGATGAGGTCTCGCTGCCCAAGCGGGTCTTGAACCCGCGGGCTCAGGCAATCCACTCACCTCAGCCTCGCAAAGGCGCGGGATGACAGGCTGAGCCACCGAGCCCGGCCAGGACCAGTTCTTAGTGCTACAGAGCATCTCAGTTGATCTGCCTACTGCTTGCTGTCCCCCTGGGATGCCGGCTTCCTGAGGTCAGGGCTGGCCTGTCCTCTTCCTCACGGAGGTCTCAATGCCTGGCATGTTGTAAATGCTCATCAAACAGCTACTGAATGAATGGGTGCAAAGAGACTGCCAAGAGCTCACCAAAACCATCTCCTCCCCTGACACAGGGGACTACATTTCCCAGCCTCTCTTTGGTTAGGTGTGGCCCCATCATGGAGTCTGGGCTGCTGCGATGTGAGTGGCCGTGATTCTTGCCACTTCCAGGCCAGGGCTAAAAAAAAACCCCACCCATGTGATCCTGTCTCCCTCCCACCCCACCATGGGAAAAATGCAGGGATCCAGAAGAGGGTTCGAGTTCCTGAGGGACAGCAGAGTCACAAGAGAGAAGGGGCCTGGATTCTTGAGTCACTGTGTGGAGAGCTGCTCATTGAATACTTGTACTGCGTTGTTATGAGAGGGAAATAAACTTCTATTGTAAGAGGTCACTGAGGTGTGGGGGCTGTCTGTCACAGCAATTCATCTACTATGGCTGATATACTGATGAGGAAACTGTGGCTCAGAGGTGAAGGGATCGGTTCCAGATGACTTGGCTGGTTCAGACCAAGCATCGGCCCCTCTACTGAGTGGAAGGTGGCAACGGTGGAGAATGCAACCACATGCGGTATTCAGAGGCCACACCCAGGCAAAGCTGCCCAGCCCGCTGTTAGGTGGGAGGTGAGGCTACCAGCCGCTGCAGGCCTGGTTCCCCATGCAGGGTGGGGTGGGTCCCAGACTCACTTTGGAATGCCTGTTGGGGGAATCTTTGCCTGCTGCATCCTGCCTGGAGGTGTGCTTGGTCCCACTGCTGCTGCTTCCCGTCATGGCTGAGAGCCTGGCCTGGGCAGGCACATGCCACAAAGGCTCTGCAGGAAAAGAGGAGACACGTCATTGGTTAGGGTGACTCAGGCCAGGGCCTGAAGAATCCGGCCTGAAATATGGTTGGATGGTCTCACCCCTCTGCCAGCCTGTCGACTCACCCAGGGCATGACCCCAGCAACTTATGCCCTGGACTATAACAACGCTCAGCAGTGGGAATATGTATTGATACTCACTGTGCACCAGTTACCTTCAGAGAGTCCTCGTGGGTTGACTCCCTGAAGCCAAGCAACAGTCCGTCACCCCTCAACAGAGGCTGAGCATGTTTTCATACCTACTAGCTATTTGGATTTTCTCTTTTGAGAAAATTACTCGTTCAACTCCTTTAACTACTATTCTATGGGACTGTCTTTTATCTTATTGGTTAGTAGAGTTCTTCACATATACAAGGCAGTAAGTAGTCCTTTGTTAGCTAAATGTACAGAACTTTTTTAAAAAACAAAAATGGAATTATAACAAACATTGTCCTACAACTTGATTTTTCACTTTGCAATGCATCTATACTTGCTTTCTGCTTTATATCTTCATAATACAGAACATGAAGTTACCTCATTTTTAACAGCTGCATAGTATTCCATCAAGTGAAAGTACATCAATTATTTACCAGTTTCCTACTGATAGATATTTATGTTATCTTCAATTTTACCTTTCAACAATGTTGCAGTGAGTTTCCCATTCCATGCAACTTTGAGCAAGTGTAGGATTGTGTCTGGGACAGAGTTCTACCAGTGGAATTGCTGGGTCAAAGTTGAAGTATGTTTATTTTTATTTTTATTTTTGAGTTGGAGTCTCACTCTGTCGCCCAGACTGGAGTGCACCGCAGCCTCGACCTGCTGGGCTCCGGCGATCCTTCCGCCTCAGTCTTCCAAGTAGCCAGAATTACAGGCATGCGCTACCACGCCCGGCTGATTTTGATTTATTGTAGAGACGAGGTCTTGCTGCCCAGGCGGGTCTCAAACCCGCGGGCTCAGGCAATCCACTCACCTCAGACTCCCAAAGGCGCGGGATTACAGGCTGAGCCACTGAGCCCGGCTGAAGTGTGTTTAAAAGTGTGTGATGGCTGCTGTGGATGTGTGGATGTAAGCTGGTCTAAACTCTTGAGACCAGTCTTTGTGCCCGAACTGAGAACCTATGCAACCTTAAAAAAAAACCAGGCCGAGTGCAGTGGCTCATGCCTGTAAGAGAATTGCCAGAGCCCACAAGCACGACATCAGCTTGGGCAACATGGCGAGACCTCATCTCTACAGTAAATTAAAAAATTAGCCAGGCGTGGTGGCGTGTGCCTAGTTCCAGCTACTTGGAAGGCTGAGATGGAAGGATTGCCTGAGCCCAGTAGGTCGAGGTTGTGATGGCCGGGAGTGTGCCACTGACCTCCATCCTGGGTGACAGAGTGAGACTCTGACTCAAAAAAACCAAAACCAGACAAAATAAAACTGACCAGTGGAGGGCATTTAGTTAATATCTATAAAAATTACAAATGTATTAACTGAGGATCTGAATTCAGGTGGTCAAACCCCAAAGCTGACACTTTTGATCACTATGGTATTCAAAATAACAACTATTATTATTATTCTTTTTAGTTGGATAAGTTGGCCTAACAACAACTATTATTAAGCATGTTGAGGCTGGGCTTAGTGGCTCAGTCTGTAATCCCAGCACTTTGGGAGGCCGAGGTGAGTAGATTGCCTGAGCCTGCGGGTTCAAGACCTGCCCAGGCAACTTGGCGAGACCTCATCTCTACAATTAAAAAAGAAAAAAAAAAATTAGCTGGGCGTGGTAGTGCGCGCCTGTAATTCCAGCTACTCGGGAGGCTGAGGCGGAAGGATCGCCAGAGCCCAGCAGGTTGAGGCTGCGGTGGCAGGGAGCAGCCACTGCACTCCAGTCTGGGCCACTGAGTGAGACTCCGACTCAAAAAAAAAAAGCATGTTGTTCTGTGTCAGGCACTGTTACAAGTGCTTTGCATACATTACCTTGGTGTAGCCTCCCAGTACTACTGGGAGGTGGGTATTAGTACCATCTCCAATTCATAGAGAACATCAAGATCCAGAGAGGTTAAGTAACTGATCCAAGGTCACACAGTCAGAGAGGCCAGGCAGGAAGTAGAGTTGAGGTCCATTTGACTTTAAAGCCAGTGCTATCCAAGCCCTGCACCCTCCCTGACTTCCTCAACAATGACAACCCCGGTAGTGACAGTGTTAAGAGCCTGAGAAGCAGGAATCTTTTTCCTAGTGACAGGCTGTCCATGCTGCAGGCTAGGTAGGCATGACCTCACTGGACACCCACACCACACTGGAAGGAGAATCACTTAGGATGTCTACTGCAGAGGAGGGGTCCGAGGAAGAGAGGACTAGGGCATGGTCGAGGTCATACACCAGGCACATGCTAACTCAGAACTTCCCATAGGCCTGTGTGAGCCCAGGCTCACAACCACAGCACGTCCACGTCTAGTGCAAGTCCAGGGCGCTCTTGGATCCACGTTCCTGACGGGGAAGCCAGTCCTGGGTGGTTGGGCAGGCCACTCAGAGCCACCGCAGAGAATGGCCCGGCTGGACATAGTCTCGGCTCGGTCGAGGGTGTCACTGCCGGTGTGGCTTTCACCCAGGAACCACAGAGACAAGAAGGCTGAGTGGCTGGCCCCTTTGTCTACCTGCTCTGCCCCTCTAGATGGTTTTCTTCTGCATCTCCCATGCCCAGGTCCCCTGGAGATGGTTGGCCACACTGGGAACCTACATTTCTACAGAGTCATGCTCATGGCAGTCATGTCCAGCCTCAAACATCACCTACAACTGACAACTCCCGCACTTCTGCCTCTGGCCTGAACTCTGCCCCTGAGTTCATACCCAGACTTGGCTGCCTCACTACACCCATACCAGTATGTGTTGGGTACTTCGGACACAACATGGCCAAGGCCAAATGCTGCACCTTCGCCCAAACTTGTACTGCTCACGGCCTATCCTGTTAAGTCCACGGCTGCTTCCTCCTCTCGGCTGCTGAGGCCAAAACCCCTGTGATTCCTGACTCCTTTCTCTAACTAGATGTACCAGGAATTTTGGTCAATATCCAGAACTGCTGTGACTCCCCACCCCGGTCCCCACCCTGGTCCTGCTTCCAGTCTACCCCACAAGAGTCTCGGGCAGAGGGCCCTGTGAGCACCCGAGTCAGTCCCCACCCCTCCTCTGCTCAGAAGACTGACCCTGTGGCTCCCAACCCACTCTGAGCATAGGACGAAGGCCCCTCCGCAGCCCAAACGGCTCCACAAGCTCTGGCCCGTCACTGCCCTGGCCTCCTCTCCAGCCATGGGCCTTACCATCTTCCGACACATCACACTCACGGTGGCCTCAGGTTCTTTGACTCGCAGTTCCCTCTCCCTGGAACGTCCTCTTCCCTGCTGCCTTTGTGTTTTTCCAGCCTTGTCTGAAACCCTGTCCCTCTGTCTCTCAGCACCGCGTTTCCACTTTGTATCCAGCACTACTTGTCATCTTCGTCGTGCCCCTGTCTATTGTCCATCTCTCCCATCAGACTGTCAGCTCCAAGAAGGCAGGGAGTAAGCCTGTCTGGCTCACACCGCATCCCTGGCGCCCAGCCTGGCATCCTTCATTAGTAACACACTGAATGCACAGATGGGTGAAGGGCCAGGTCACTCCAGTGTTCCCTTGTCCCCGGCTCTGCTCTTAGCAGTCCTGGATCCTGGACCCGGGCCCTTTTCTGGTTCTCTGGATCAAAAGTAGCCTTCTGGCCCTCCTTCCTCACCCTTGACATGCTGGGCAGGTGGCAGCCTAAGAGACGTGCTGAAACCCTGACCAGGTATGGTCCCAGGCAAATGGTGACCCCTAGAAGGTCCCAAGGAAGTGAGAGAGGAATCAAGTTCTAGGGAACAGGAGAGGTGACATGGGAAGGACAATGGTGAGTTTCTAATTTGGGATTCATGGTGCACACTGGAAATACCTCTTCCCCATTTACACATCGGTGTAAAAGAACAGCTGAGCCAGGCTGGGTACGGTGGCTCAAGCCTGTAATCCCAACACTCTGGGAGGCTGAGGCAAGAGGATTTCCTGAGCTTAGGGTTCGAGACCAGCCTGGGTAACTTGGAGAGACCTCATTTCTACAATAAATAAAAAAATTAGCTAGGTGTGGTGGCACATGCCTGTGGCTCCAGCTACTTGGAAGGCTGAGGTGGAAGGATCACCTGAGCTTAGCAGGTCGAGGCTGCGGTGGCTGTGAGCATGCCACTGCACTCCAACCTGGGTGACAGAATGAGACTCCAACTCAAAAAAGAAAAAAAAAAGAACAGCTGAGCCACACTTTTCTCTTTTTTTGAACTGGGTGGGGAAAAAGGAAAACAAAAAAATCTGAATCTATCTGTCTGGAGCACAGATCAGAATTGCAGGCAATGACAGGCAGGATCAAGCATGCTGAGGAGAGGAGCCAGCGTGTCTACGGGTCCTGGAGGTAGCAGAGGGACAGCGGGGCCAGGAGATCAACCCGCTTGCCTGAAGTCAAACCATTGTCCTTGTTTTTTCGGTTTTCTTTTTGAGTTGGAGTCTCACTCTGTCACCCAGACTGGAGTGCAGTGGCCGCTCCCAGCCACCGCAGCCTCGACCTGCTGGGCTCCGACAATCCTTCCGCCTCCGCCTTCCACGTAGCTGGAACTACAGGCGCGCGCTACCACGCCCGACTCATTTTTGATTGATTGTAGAGATGAGGTCTCGCCAAGTTGCCCAGGTGGGTCTCAAACCTGCGGGCTCAGGCAATCCACTCTCCTCGGCCTCCCAAGGCACAGGATTACAGGCTGAGCCACCAAGCCCGGCTACTGTCCTTGTTTTAAGAGAGCCATGGGCTGAGGTGCTGAGGAATTCTAGGCCACGAGTCTTGGGTCACGCAACCTCTTCCCTACCCTACAGCGCCTGGGGGAGCTGGTGATGTGCTAATAGAATCACCCCCCCCAGGTGCCCTGATATTCTCTAAGAGTACCCAAGGAGACATCTCCAACTTTCCCCCTCCAGCGTCAGTGTTCTTCAACACTTTGTTGTTTGCTTTCTTTTGAAGCCAGCCCACTGATTCACCTGGTGGTTCTCAGACTTCAAAAGGGCTACAAGGTTGCTATATGAAACTATGTTTAAAATAGTCATCTACGTAGTACGTTGCACATGATTAATAATTATGCATAGGGAAATAAACATCTGAGAAGATGCTCAATCTCATCAGTCGCCAAAAGAATGCAGATTAGAAACACCATGTGACACCACTACATGCTCACTGGAATGGATGGAATGAGAAGGTTGGTGAGGACATTGAGCAACAAGAACTCTCAGAAGTCGCTGGCTAGAGTATAAAATGGTTCATCACTTTGGAAAACAGTTTGGTACTTTCTTATAAAGCTAAACATATGACCCAGCAATTCCACTCCTTCGTATATACCCTACAGAAATGTACACAATTTCATCAAAAGACAGGTACAAGGATATTCCTAGCAACACTGCACTAAGCAGCCCAAACTGGAAACAACCCAGTGTCCATTAACACTGGGAGAAGGCAACAAATTGTGGTTCATTCAGACGATGAATACTACTCAGAAATTGCACTGCCATGGATAATCATGTGGTTGACTCTCATAAACGTAATATTGAGTAACAGAAGCAAGACACACCGCATACATGCAATGCACATGAAATATATACATAGCATGATTCTACATTCTATACAATTCAGAACAGGGTACTTTGAGGTGCTGGCTGGGAGGGATATGGGGGGCTTTTGGGAGGCTGGCTATGTTCTGTTTTGTGCCTGAGGTGTGTCCGCTTTGTGACATGTTCTCAAGCCATATACTCATGATTTGGGCTCTTTCTCAGTGTGTGTTATATGTCCTTAAAACAACACAGGAGAGCTTATGCAATAAAAAGCCACAAAACACAGTCAGCTCTGCTCTTCTTAGAGCGCCACTTTAAATCCTTTGCAACTGTCTTCCCTGGTGGCCAGCTCATGTCACACGGCTGTCCTCCTGCTCTCGACTTATCAGTAGTAGCAGACACCATCTGCTGATGCCCTGTCTGGACAGATAAGGATCTCACTCCTGGTTTCCACTGCTCTCCTGGGTGACCTCTCTAATCTCACATGTGGCACTTACAGCTTTCTTTTGTGTTTTATCCGCCACTGACAGGAGAGGTGTGGTGTCACCTGTCAAACTCTAAGTAAGAGGTTCTGTGAAGTGAGGCGGGTGGGCACAGCTGCCCGGGGAGGCCCTACCTGGCTTCTGGCGCTCCATGGTGCTCTCCTGGCTGGTCAGGCCGCCTGAGGAGGAGTCGCCGCTGGACGTCCCATCGTGGCTGAAGTGGGGATCAAACGACAGCAGTGGGTGTGGGGTGGCCGTGTACCTGCAGGGGAGCGAGAAGGAGCAGAGGGTCAAAAACCACCTCAGCCTGAGATTTGCTTGCCAGTGGGTCTTAAACACACAGGAGGCTCCGCTGTGGATGGGGAGAGGAAGCTGCAGGTGAGGCCGGATGAGTAAGCCCGGACCATGCTATTAGCTAAGGGTCGGGAATGAGTCTTGCCTGGGAAGCTTGCCAAGGAGTTGGTGGTGGCAGGGGGCACACGGCAAGGCAGATTCCTCAAGGAAGGAGGAGGCAGAAGCTACTTGGGCCGACTGCTCTTCGCTTCGGCTCCTTAGGCATCCTGTTTTGGGGCTGTGAAATGGGTACACTGCTGTCGTCAGCAGCCGCTGCCCCAGGCCTGTCTCAGACCCCTTTCTCTGATAGAAACACGTAGGATAAGGGAACATGGGTAGGTGCAGGAGACCCTGAGCTGGGTAGGCTAGGCTTCAAACCCCACCACTACCTCTTGTCTAGCTGGGAGCAGTCACTTCCCAGCCTTGGGCCTCGGATTCCCCAGCTGTTAGGAGGCGGTCACAGCAGGCCCTTCCTCACATGACGGAAGGGTGCCCCACTGAGCCTAGCACTTAGCCTGGGTTGACACATGATACATGGTGACTTGTGACAACTGATCAATAGGCTAGAACTCTGAGTGTGTCCCTTTGCTGCTGGAGGAAGGCACTGCAGGGCAGAAGCTGTGGGCTTAGGCTTCAAAACAAGGCAGATCTGGGACTAAATCCCAGTTCCGTCCCTCACTAGGCACATGACCTTGATCAGGCAAGTGTTTTAATCAACTTCCGCTGCAGCTTTTCTATCTGACAAACAAGGAAACACTGTCTACATCACAGGTGGAGTGGATGCAATAAAGCTGCCCTCTAGACAGAGTTCCTTCTGGACGTAGATGCGCACACCCACAGGTAAGGGATTCAAGGGAGAAGATTCTCCCTGTGGCCTCATGTCCCCACGGCATTCTCCATGCCATGGAGTGCATCTTCTGGATGCTTCCCAATGTCCAGTCCTCCTCAGATCAAGAGTCAGTTGTGGTAGAAACTCTTTTTCCTGCCTGGGGTTGGTTAAGGGACAAGCTGTTCACAATTTTAGCAAATAAAATGTGAAGGAATACGGGCGTTATCAAGACTCCCACAAAATATTTCTGGCTCTCCCCCTCCAGGCACATGGTGGGACTGTACTTCCTGGTCCCTTGAGACTGGCCGGCCAGGGCCACGTGACTGGTTCCCACAGATGAGCTGTCAGGAAGTGACCTGGAGATGGTGGCTGCTTGGGCAGCCTGGATCCTGAGAGGTCCCCTACCAACCAGCAGTGGAGCCACCGAGTAGCTTGGGAGTAACTCTTCGTTGATTTAAGTCACAGAGATTTTCAGGTGTTTGTCACCAGCACAGTTTGACTGAAATGGGGAAAGTCTGCCAGGAGGCTTCTGGGGGAAGTTTCCTTGCTCCTAAGAGAGGTAACCCCCAAAAATGGTCTCTCTTCATCCTCCATATGCTGCTAGGGTCAGCTATAACCTCACGGGCTGCTGTTGTCCTCTTGCTATCAGTGTGAGGATAAGGCCAACACTGAGGGCCGAAGAGAGAAGGCAGAAGAAACTGGGCCCTAGATCATGCTGAGATGCTGGGTTTGTCCCCCCTGGAACCTGCCCTGTTGCGGAGTTTCTTTTTCTGTGAAAAAACACATTCCTAGCCGGGTTCGGTGGCTCAGCCTGTAATCCCGCGCCTTTGGGAGGCTGAGGTGAGTGGACTGCCTGAGCCCGCAGGTTCGAGACCCGCCTGGGCAGGCGAGATCTCATCTCTACAATAAACAAAAAAAAATTAGCCGGGTGTGGTAGTACGCGCCTGTAGTTCCTGCTACTTGGAAGGCTGAGGTGGAAGGATCACCAGAGCTCAGCAAGTTGAGGCTGTGGTGGCCGGGAGCGGCCATTGCACTCCAGTCTGGGCGACACAGTGAGACTCCAACTCAAAAAAAAAAAAGAAAACACATTTCTACAGTGTTTGAGACAGCCAAATTCTGGTTACTTAACTAGAAGTACTGACACAGGCTCTGGGGCAATTCCTGAGCCTCCACTAATAATGCTGATATTGCTATTTTCCATTTGGTTTCTGGCATCTCTACTTTCAACTTGGGAAGGGGGAGAGGTAATAAACTGGGACCCCAACATCCACAAGAGGAGTTAGCTGAGGTATCCAGGGTCACCCTGCCAACTCAAAGCCAGGCTGCTTCTACAAAGATCACACTCTAAACTTCCAGCTTCAGTGGCCCAAGGGCAGCAGAAGGGTGCTTGGGAGGGCACTGCACTCTCTGAAAACTCAGCTTACCTGCCAAAAAAAGACATAGATCCTCCCCTTCCCTTAACTAGACCTTGACCTCTGACACCTCCAGGAAAGGACGACAATACTTTTCTGAATGTCCAAGGGCCCAGTTTCCAGCAATGTAAGGATTTTTACAAAGGCAACTTGAACTCTAAGCAATCTTCACCTTACTGGCTGACTTCACACCTGACTAGTTGCCTGGTAAAACATGGCTTCGTCACAGCTGGAGATTGAAGTATAGACGTATTTATGGTTTTCCCAAAAAGTTGGTATCAAATCCTGACTACAGGGAAACACTGGCAATGGCTGGGATCGGCTAAGGGAAAGCAGGAAGCACACGTTGCTGCAGGCCACTCCCCAACGTCCTGCCTCGCCTTCCTCCTTGGTAAGAGAATTCTAACTGCATCGGGGCAGCAATGCGACTGGTTAAGAGACAACATTCCCCAGGCTCCCTTGCAGTTCTGGCCAGTGAAATAAAAGTGTGAACGCCACACATGACTTCCAGTGGGGAAACGTCCTCAGAAACGTGGGCGCCTCGGCCTCAATCTCTCCTTAGTGACCATCTTGGACAGGAAGCACAGGGCAAACAGCATCAAGGAGGAGAGGAGCCTGGTTTTCTGACAAAGAGGGAGAAAGAAAGAAACTCTCTTGTCCGAAAGCCTGTTTTCTGTTATGCAGTTAGACTATTCTAACAGATAGGCCATCTTTAGCTGGACAGTCCCCAGTCAAGACAACCTGTACTTTATCCAGTCACATAATCCTTTTACTAATAAGACTTTTAATTATCCCAATACAAACTGACCTATGTTGACCACTCACTGAGATGCTGAATATGTCCCACTGGGGGTCATTTCTATCACTGCCCAATTTTGGTCAAACTGGTTGGAAATCGGGCTATTGTAGCCTATCACCATGCACAGCTCTGGACAAACATTCCTGGCAGAAGATCATATAACTGTCTTCAATCCCATCTGAAAAATCTTAAAGTAATTTATCTTTTTTTGGAAGACGAAATCACTCTGTAGATAAAGGGTTTGAGGGTTTGGTGAAGCACTAACTAACTGCAGTTTCAGGTGTCTCCAGGCAGAAGCTGGATGTACTGACTCTAGGGAGGTCAAGGTAGGGAGGTGCTGTAAGGTGAGCAGGGTCTCACTTGGCCACAGAGTATGTGGGCAAGAGCCGCACCCGAGCTGTCCATCTCCCACACCGACCGATGGAACAACGGATGAGTGATTCCCAGGATGTCTGGGTGAAAGTGTGGACAGATGATGCAGCCACTGTTGGCTGCCAGGCCAGCAGCCATCACCCTCTCCATCCCTGCTGGGAGGGCCCAGATTCTGCTCTGGCGGCCATCCCTCTGTCACATGACTTGAGTAAATTCTGACAGTTTACGACAGTCTTGGGGGTGCAATAAGACCTTGCCAGAGGTAGGCAAGCGACCCAGTTCCTTAACTCTTAAAAATAAAAAGAAGCCCTTTTCTCATTCTTCTGCAGAGCACTGGCTCTAGTTGGGGTCACGGGAGCCATTGTGGGGTCACTAGTGGAGCCAGGTCCCCGAGGACATCACTGCGCTGTAGAATTAACCAACCCTAGAGCAATCCTACTTCTGGACTTCTTATGGGAGATGATAAATCTCCCAATGCTTTGTGCCTTCTTGAGTTAGGTTTTCTGTCACTTGCAATCAAATGCCTCCCAACAGATGTACCTCTCTTTATGAAGCTAGCAGAGAAAAACAGAAGGAAAAAAGAGCCAGTCAGGGACCTTGATAAGTGTGGGGCCCATTCCATTCCTGAAGTTTGCTGAGCCTGGTGCAAGTTTCTGCCCTAACACTCTGTGCTGAGCTTGATGGCTCGCTTATCTTGCACACAAAGGTGGCAGACTCCTAAGGACAGGGATAGCATTCACCTGCCTCTGCACCTATATGCCAGCTCAGGCCCTTCCCTCAGCAATAATAGTAATAACCCTTATGGAGCGCTCACTATGTACTAAGTGCTCCACACTGTTTTCCTCCTTAAATATTCACAACATTGTTCAGAGATAGTCTTGTGTGCAAATGGAGGTGTAGAAAGGTCAGGTCCCTTCCCCATACTCACATGGCTGATGAGGGATTGGGCATGGTTTTGAACCCCCCCCCCTTTTTCTCTTTTAAGAGAGACTCTCGCTCTGTTGCTCTGGCTGGAGTGCAGTGGTGTGATCATAGCTCTTTGCAGCTATGATCTTGAGTTCCTGGGCTCAAGTGATCCTCCTGTCTCAGCTCCTTAGTTTTGAATAGCTAGGACTACAGGCACCTACCACCACCCAGCTAAATAATTTTTCATGCTTTTTGTAGAGATGGGGGCTCACAGTGCTGCCCAGGCTGGTGGTTTTGAACTCTTTGAGTTGGAGTCTCGTTCTTGCTGCCCAGGCCGGAGTGCAGTGGCACACTCACGGCCACTGCAGCCTCGACCTGCTGCGCTCCAGTGATCCTTCTGCCTCAGCCCTCTAAGTAGCTGGAACCACAGGTGTGCGCTACCATGACTGGCTAATTTTTAAATTTATTGTAGAGACGAGGTCTCACCATGTTGCCCAGGCTGGTCTCGAACCTACGGGCTCAGGCAATCCTCTCGCCTCGGCCTCCCAAATGCTGGGATTACAGGCTGAGCTACTGTGCCTGGCCAGTTTTGAACTCTGAATGATCATGCCATCTGTCTCTCAGAAATCTAAGGTGGGCCGCGAGACAGGTTCTGTCTCTGAGAGCCTTCATGCTCCTAAAAGCTTGATGAATTTGACAAGCAACAGGCCTACTGGAGAAGACTTGAGGAGGACAAATATCCTCACAGGGGCTCTAGCAGTAGAAAAGGGGGATGGGAGCTGAGGCCAAGGCCACTGGAGCACCATAGGCTGGTGATGGACTGTGAAAGATACTTCCAGGGGTTTGGGGTCTGAGGTGTCCTCAGAACACTGTGCAATACTCGGAACCCAGCTATTGCTAGAGACAGAAAATACTGAGACAGAGGCTACAGGGTCAGACCCAGGCTCCATGGGACTCTGAGAAGAGGCAGGTGGTCTAAGAAGAGCTGGAGTTCTAGGAAAAGGGATATTTCCCCACTCACCAATGCCAGAGAGCCCGAGACACAAAATCACAGCCATCTGAATGATTTGGTGGGTAGGGGACCATGCCTGTCCCCTGATTTGGAAGATGAGCTCAGAGTCCTCTGGGCAGGCAGGACAGCTCTAGGGTCAGAGTCAGCCTTCCAAAATCAGAAGCCTGTTCCCATCCTGACTGTTACTTCCTGGCAGAGGGAGCTTAGCCAAGTGAAGTCATCTTGCTAAGCTTCAGTTTGCCCTCTGTAAACTGAGGATAACTAAACCACCCACCTCGTGAGCTACAGGGAGCACACACTAAGATCCTGCATACAGATTGAGGGAACCCAGAAACAGAGCCATGCAAACATGCCCAATTCATTTCTCTTCATTTTTGCCTTAAAGATCAAAAGCAATGCAATGGAGGAGGGACAGTGTTTTCAATAAATGGCACTGAAATACATTAGACATCCACAAGCCAAAAAAAGGAACCTAACCCTATACCTCTCATCTTAACCAAAATTATTTTAAAAAAAATTAACTCAGCTGGGCTCTGTGGCTCAGCCTATAATCCCGCGCTTTGGGAGGCTGAGGTGAGTGGATTGCCTGAGCCCGCAGGTTCGGGACTTGCCTGGGCAACTTGGTGAGACCTCATCTTTACAATAAATCAAAAAATTAAGCCGGGCTCAGTGGCTCAGCCTGTAATCCCAGCACTTTGGGAGGCTGAGGTGAGTGGATTGCCTGAGCCCGCGGGTTCGAGACTCACCTGGGAAACTTGGCAAGACCTCATCTCTACAATAAATCAAAAAATTAGCCAGGCATGGAGGCGCGTGCCTGGGGTTCCAGCTACTCAGAAGGCTGAGGTGGAAGGATCATCTGAGCCCAGTAGGTAGAGGCTGTGGTGACCGTGAGCATACCACTGCACTCTAGCCTGGGTGACAGAGCGAGACCCTGACTCAAAAACAAACAAACAAACAAACAAACAAAAAACGATAAAGTCAAAATGGAACGTGGATTTAAGTGAAAAACAGTTAAACTTCTAGGAAAAAAAAATGAGAAAATCTTCAGGACTCAGGACTAGGCAGAGAAACATGACCCATTAAAGGAATCATTTGGACCCATAATGATCATTTGGACTTCATCAAAATAAAAAACTTTTGTTCTGCTAAACATCCTGTAAAAAAGATGAAAAGACAGACTGAAGTCTTGGAGAAAAATATTTGCAAATCACATATCTGACAAAAGACTTGCATTCAAAATCCACAAAGAACTTTCAAACACTGAAAAACATTGACTCTAACTAGAAAATGGGCAAAAGGCATGCACAGACACTTCACTGAAGAGGATATACAGTTGGCAAATGTGCACAAGAAAAGATGCTCAACATCATTAGCCCCTAGAGAAATGCAAATTACAACCACAGTGAGATGTCACTACATACCTGTCGGAATAGCTAAAATGAAAAACAGTGATAACACCAGACAGTGGCAAGGATGTGGAGAACTGATCCTTCCTACTCTGCTGGGGAATGTAAAATGGTACAGACACTCTGGAAAACAGTTTGGCAGTTCCTTTTAAAACTAAAAAGGGACTTACCATACGGTAAGCAATTGTACTCCTGGGCATTTATCCCAGAGAAATGAAAACTTATTTTCATGCAGAAACCTGTACGCCTGAATGTACTTGTTCATAGCATGAATATTCATAACAGCCAAAACTCAGAAACTACCCAAATGTCTTTCTTTTCTTTTGAATAGATCATTTTTATTTTTAATATTAAAAAAATTTATTTCAACCCAGGAGCATAGATTCAAGTTGCCTGAATATACGCTCCCCAACCATCTTTCCATGGAGGAGGAGCTACACTGTGGTACATCCATACCACGGAACACAACTCGGCAATAAGACCCAACTACTGAGACTTGAAACAACTTGGATGAATCCCAAGGACATTATGCCGAATGAAAGACAGCCTCTAAAGGACACATACTGTATGATTCCTTTTATAAAACATTTGTGAAATAGCAGGAATTAAAGACAGGCAGAACAGATTAATGGTTGCCAGGGGTTAGGAATGGATGGGTAGAGGGGATGGATATGGCCATAAAATGTGACATGAAGAGTCTTGTGGTGATGATTACACAGGACAACACACATGATAAAACTGCACACCACACACGCGCGCGTGGATGCACGTATAACCGGCGAATTCTAAACGGTTCTCAGGCGTATACCAATGTCAATTTCTTGCTTTGATACTGCATTACAGTCACACAAGATATTAACAATGGGTTCATGGGACTTCCCTGACGTTTCTTCACAACTTCTTGTGAATCTATAAGTATTCATAAATAAAAAGTCAAAAAAGGTAATAAAGGGGAGACACCAAGATCTTGGGAAGAAAAACTGCTCTCAAGAGTTCTTAGTCATCTCGTCCCCACAACCTCTGTGACTGGTGACGTACCAGCTGCCGTTTACCAGTCTCAACCCTTGCTGACGCTCAGGTACTGCCATATCCCACATCCTGCACACACTGGATTCCGCTCTGCTCCTCCTGTGTTCCACTCATCCTGCTTATGGCCTTTGCCCTGTCTGGAATGACCTCTTCCCTCCTCTCTAAGGCAAGCTCCTACAAATCTCTCAAAGTTCTGCCCAACTGTCACCTTCTCTAGGCAGCCAGTCTAGACTTCCTGGGCTGGGCCGTGTTCCCTCCTTCTCTATTAGAGTGCCCATTAGAGTGTATGTGGTTTCTAAGATCCTCTCTCTGCCACAGTCAGCAAGCGCTGACAGCAGGACCCCCTGGCAACTGAGTGTTTCGAATATTCCTCCTGGTGCCTGGCCCACAGAAGGCTCTTGGGGCCTTTTGCCGAATGAAAGCAGGATAGCAGTCACCAGAAGATAGAATGGTGGGTATACATCCCCAGCTTAACAATGGAGGCCTGGAATCTAACGACGGCTTTGTGTGGCAACTCTCTGGACCAGCAGCATGGGCATGACATGCTCTAGCCTAGGCCTACCAGGTGATTAGTATTTTAACAAGTCCTCCTATGGGTAATTCCAATGCATGCTAAAGATAGGGAACTAGTAGACTAAGCCCTGGTCTTAAGGCAGGTGGTTTCATTTAAACAAACACACTCACTCTATCCTTTCATCAAATAATATATACCAAAGGTCTGCTGTGTGTCAGACTTGTGCTGTGTGATCCACAACGACAAGACGGAATATCTAGATCCCAGAGAGCTTACGTGCTCGCGCATGCTCGTGCACACTCTCTCTCCCTCTCTCCCTCTCATTCTGAAGTGCACACACATGCACTTAACTGGGCTAATAGAATGGAGAGCCACAGTCAGGAAACACCTGGGGAACTCTGTAGAGGTTCAGAGGTGGCCAAGGTTCAGAGAAAGCTTCCTGGAGGAGGAGCATCAAGCCCTCAAGTTGGCAGAATGGGGGTGTGGGTGAGTCCCAGGCCAAGGAAACAACATGACAAGGCTCTGAAATGCAGACAGCCTACCCAGCAAGATGCAAGGGGCCTTGGTGGCCACAGGAAGGGGCCAGGGCTGTCCTGAGGGATATGGGAGTCATGGGAGGGTCTGGAGCAGGAGACAGACATGGCCAGATATGGAAAGATCCCTCTGACTGTGGAGTGAAGGGTGGACTAGAGGAGCTGAAACGAAGGTGGGCGTCCACTGAGGTGGCTGGGGTGGTAAGACAGCAGGGAAGGAGGAGGAAGCAGGTGATATTGATGCTCAGGAGCCTGAATGGATAAATAGCAGCAGGGGGAAGGGGGACAGGAGGCAGCCGGGATGAGGCCCATGGCTCCGGCTTGAGGACAGGGGATTGCTGGGGCTGCGCCTGTGACAGGGACCCGGGGGGACGAAAGACACAGGGCACCAGGGCCGAAGCAGCTGGGGAATAAGCTCGGCTGGAGCCAGATCTGGCAAGGCCTTGCCTGCCAACCTGCAGAGCCCGGGTTCATCTTGAGGGCACTGGGGAGCCATGGAGGGTTTGGGGAGACCTCTCAGGCTGCCAGGTTGGAGATGGCTCCAAGGGGGCAGGACTGAAACCTGAAAGACCACGAAGACTGCACAGTGCTGGTGGCCTGGGCTTAGGGGCAGGGACTAGAGAGTTTGACTTGTGGCCATGGCAGATGGTGGATGGTTTTGTTCAACCCAGTGATACAAGTCCCAAGAAAACAGCAACCAAAATTCTGCTGCAAGGAAAGCCAACGGTGCGTCCTGCCCAGTCCAGTTTAGCCCTAAATTTTAACATGACATAGCCAACCCCCTGGGGTCCTCTGATGACCTGCAGAGGTCTAGAAACACTATAAAATGGCAAATAAAATTGGGGGAGATGTGCATTTCCTAGGGAAAAAAGATCCACAGCTTTCATCAGATTCCTTAATATGAAAAGAATGAAGAGATTCTGACCTTTCTGGGGATGGCTTGTATCTCGCGTAGGTGGCCGAGCTGGGGGTGGAGAAGCTCCCAGAAGGCTGTCGGTAGGGAGGGACTCTGTCGGCCCCTGCTGGTGATGCGGTGTAAGGCGTTTCTGGGAAGCTGACAGGTCTGGAATGAGACAGGGGAGGAAGGGGGCCGGGGGTGAACCAGTGCCCCTGCCCCCAGAAGATGGACAGACAGACAGGCAGATCAACCGACCGACCGTGAATGGGTGCCTCTGTCCTCAGAGGATGGAAAGACAGACAGACCGACTGGCTGTGAATGGGTGTCCCTGACCTCACAGAATGAACAGATAGACAGATTAACTGACCGACTGCAAATGGGTGCTCCTGCCCTCAGGGGATGGAAAGACACACAGACAGATGGATCGCTCCCTCAGACGGACACGGAACAAAGGGCAGTGGGAAGCCGGAGACCCCCTGTCCCCTCTTTCTGGCTCCACTGCTACCACCCCCACCTCTCAGCATCTGCAGCTTGACAGCCACCGTTCCTGCCCCTCTCCTGAAAGGAGACATTCCTCTGCAAGCTAGATGCTTTCATTTTTTGGAAAAGCATCTTTACCTTTTAACAAGTAATATATTCAAAAGAGTATCTGTAAGTTATATTTGTCGCCATAAAACAAACTCCCTGAAGCTACCGCTCAGCCCAAGGACTAGAACAGTTAACATCTACCCGTGGGCTTCTCCCCTTCCTATTTCCCTGTCTCCCCCAGGAGGAAACAATGGTCTTCAGTTTTGTGCTTATCAGTCCCTTCCCCTTCAAAAAAAGTAGAGTTTTAACCACATACTTTGTGTGGCAGATTTCTAGCCTCAGACAGAGCTCCCAGCACTGGCGCCTCGGGCAGGAGGCCCACAGTGAGAGCCTGAGGGAAGGAAAGGAGGGAGGGAGGGAGGTGCAAGGGAGGAATAAGGGTGAGAGGGAAGGGAGAAGGACTGGGTGAGGAAGAGAAGAGACAAACGGGAGAAAGGGGGGAGGACAGAACTGGCAGGTGGGAGGCCTTACCTCTTGCTGTGCAGTGGCTGGGACTCCCGGAAGGGGACCATAGGGGTCTGCTTCGGGGGCCGGCTCAGGGACTGGGCATGGCCAGAGGTGGTGGGAGGGGCCCACTTGGAGGCTGGGAGGGAGTTATGAGATGCTGGGCCGCTCCACTGCCAGGGCGCATTGCTGCGGTAGGGGGGCCGGCCCCCAGGAGTGATGCTTTCCTGCTCCGTCTTGGGCTCAGAGGGATTCATGTCATAGGTTTCCGGCCACCCCCTGGGAAGAAAAACTTCGTTACTCAGCAAGGCCCTGGCCTACCCGCACTTATGCCCGCTGCCTGGGCTGGGTTTTCCTGGCCAAATCCAAACCATGATGACCTATTTAAAAGTCGACCGGATACGCTCTAAATTGGTCTGAAACTTACCGGCTCAGAGTCCTCAACCGGGACAGGGCTCAACACAGGGGCTCCGCTTGCCGGACCCGTTCTATCTCATCTCCTCTCCCACTCTGTCTCCCCTCCTCTCCCTTCTACCTGACCCAGTCCCCGAGTCTGTCAGTGCCCTCCACCGACCCGTTTGGCCCCCCTTAGCGGTACTCAGGGCCAGAAAGGCGGATGTCCTCAGAATCAAAGGACAGTATCTGCCTTGTTCCAAAGAATCTCAAAGGCAGCTGGAAGAGGAGCAGGTGACCTACTTTGCAGGGTGGTTAAAAAAAAGAAAGCCACGAAATCCAGAACCTTGAAATAGATGCAGAGTGGCCTGTGACTCCCCCCAGACCAGGTTGGCACACAAAGCGCAGTGCTCCTGGCATGAGGTGGGGAGATCCACCGGCTGAGCTGGCAGCCTCTGCTGTCACTGCAGTGCCGCATGGAGGAGACTCTGAGCTCGAGGACTAGCTGTGCTCATGAAATCCACCTCCCAGCAGCTGTGAACACTGAGCTCTGAGGAGCCCTCAGCTGGGAATCTTGCATGCCCCATCATACGGATCTTCCGGGGCTCTCCTGAGTTCCTGGAGCCCAGGGAGATTTCATGGTCACCTGGCAAAAAATCTGGTGGACTTGGTGACTCAGAGGCTGCTATCATCTGAATATGTTCCCCAAAAGTCATGGGGGGAAACTCGATCCCCAATGCAATTGTTGGGAGGTAGGGCCTAAGGGAAGGTGTTTAGGACAGAGCTCTCAGGAGTGGATTAATGCCATTCTGAAAAGGGCTTGTGGAAGGGGGTTCTCTCTTCTGCTATGTGAAGACAGGGTGTACCTCTCCTCCAGAGGACACAGTGTTCAAGGTGTCACCTTGGAAGCAGAGAGATCAGGTCCTAACCTGCCCAGCACCTTGATCATGGACTTCTAGCTTGCAAAACTATGAGACATACATCTCTTAGGTGTTGTTTATAGCAGCACAAAACAGTCCAAGACTGAGCCTGTGAACCCAGGACATGGCTGATAAGGAGACACCAAAAGGTGGCCCAGGGATGTGCTCTGGCACCTGGGCTCGATACACCAGGCTCCTCAGAAGCACTATGGTTGGAGCTAACAGACAGTAGTTTCTTCTGGTCGTCTCTTTGAATTGGTAGGTGCCAGTGTCTCAACAGACACCAGGTGAAGACCAAAAACAATAGGAATGTCTAACAGTGCCTGTAGATATGCCAGGCCTGGGCAGAGGTGGCAAAAGGTACCATCATCGCCCCAGGCGGTGCCACCTGACACCCTTGCTCGCCTGACTTCCACACCGTCTTCTCCTGACAACAGATCTGTGTGCTCTGGGTGGGATGACCCCACTTCTTGGCTCCAGGAATGAACATGTGACCCAGAACTGACCAATCAGAACTTTTTTTTTTTTGAGTTGGAGTCTCACTCTGTCACCCAGATTGGAGTGCAGTGGCACGCTCCCAGCCACCACAGCCTCAATCTGCTGGGCTCCGGCGATCCTTCCGCCTCAGCCTTCCAAGTAGCTGGAACTACAGGTGCCTGCTACCATGCCCGGCTAATTTTACTGTAGAGATGAGGTCTCACCAAGTTGCCCGAGTGGGCCTCGAACCCGTGGGCTCAGGCAATCCACTCGCCTCAACCTCCCAAAGTGCTGGGATTACATGCTGAGCTACTGAGCCCGGCCCAAGCTGAAGCTTTTATCTCCCTGGCCACAATGACTAGCACAGGAATGTCATGTGCCCTGAGCAAGGCCAATCAGAGTCAATGAGCATCATCTCTGGATCTGTTTCTGGAACTACTGGAAGAAAAGATCTGCTTCCACTGGAGCTGCTGAGCTGAGGGGACCTAAGTCCAGAGCTGTGGGAGGGGGTCATCTTTATTCCCAGGAGGTGGGAGACTGCCTGAGAATGACAGCAACACAGAAAAGAGATGTGAAAGAGAGACTCCTGGTGAGGGTGTCAGAGTCCTGGGATACAGTCATGCCTGTATTTTGCCCAGTCTCCTAGTTTGTCAGGTACATGAGCCAGCAAGACTTTCTTTTGCTTCACCACTGTTTGAGTATCTTCTGTTGCTGGAACTCAGAGTTCTAATCAGTATATCACATTTTAGATATAAGCAAATTGAGGCACAGAAAAATTAAGTAATCTGTCCAAGATCACACAGCCAGTAAGAGAGAGAAACTGGATTTAAATATGGTGAGTTGACTCCAAAGCCTACAACTTTAGCCACCATCCATAGCTGCCCACTGTATAGTGGCTGGGGAGCCAGTGGGTAGATTCCTTGGGCTCTTGAATTTTTCTCATTACTGGCTCGTTACTGAAAGTTTCATCTTGGGTTAGGAGCCCCTGGTCATGACTTTAGAGGGAAACACAGATGGGTGCAGTGGCATGCACCTGTAGTCCCAGCTACTCTGGAGGCTGAGGCAAGGGGATTGCTTGAGCCTAGGAGTTTGAATCCAGACTAGGCAACATATTAAGACCCTGTTTCTAGTTTTTAAAAATTAATAGTCGTTAAAGAGGGAAACGTTATTCAATCACTTTGAAAGCAATACAGCATGGTGGAGAGCCAGAGATGCTGGGCCAGATGGCCGGTTCAGAACTCAACTCTTGTTACTACCTACCTGTGTGGGTTAGGTAAGGGATTTCCTTCCCAATGCCTCAGTTTCCCAATCTGTAAGATGGTGGTAGTTATGGACATTAGCAGAGAGTCAAGTGTTTAACAAATTGGAGCTGATGGCATTGTTTTTTCCAGCTGTTTCTACGGACTGTCTACCGGCTCTTCTTATAAACTCAGAAGTGAAAGCTTCCTCTTCCACTTTCCGAAGTCTAACCACATTTACCTTGGGGCTTTGGAAAAGCTTCCTCCCCAGTTCCTCCTACTCCAGTCTTTCCAGTGATCTGAAAATCACTAGTATCCAAATCATCGTGAGTGCTCAGCAAAGAATGCAGATTCCTGGGCCCCACATCAGATCATCACAAGAATTCCTCTTGAGGTAGGACCAGAAATCTGCATTTTTTTTTTTTGAGTTGGAGTTTTACTCCGTCGCCCAGACTGGAGTGCAGTGGCCGCTCCCGGCCACTGCAGCCTCGACCCACTGGACTCCGGCGATCCTTCCACCTCAGCCTTCCGAGTAGTCGGAATTACAGGCGTGCGCTACCACGCCCGGCTGAGTTTTGATTTATTGTAGAGATGAGGTCTCGCCTGCCCAGGTGGGTCTTGAACCCGCGGGCTCAGGCAATTCACTCACCTCAGCCTCCCAAAGGCACAGGATTACAGGCTGAGCCACCGAGCCCGGCTCTTTTTCTTTCAACAGTCGATTAGTATCACATCACCTGATGACCTGGGGTTTACTCAGCCAGTTCCCCTAGCAATGGCTATTTAGGTTGCTTCTAGTCTTTTCCTGCCACCAAAAATCTCTTTTTTTTTTTGAGTTGGAGTCTCACTCTGTCACCCAGACTGGAGTGCAGTGGCCGCTCCCAGCCACCGCAGCCTCGACCTGCTGGGCTCCGGCGATCCTTCCGCCTCAGCCTTCCGAGTAACCGGAATTACAGGCGCGTGCTACCACACCCAGCTAATTTTTTTTGGATTTATTGTAGAGATGAGGTCTCGCCAAGTTGCCCAGGCGGGTCTCGAACCCGCAGGCTCAGGCAATCCACTCACCTCAGCTTCCCAAAGGTGCGGGATTACAGGCTGAGCCATCAAGCCCGGCTAAAACAAATCTTCATAAATAAATATTCCATGCTAACCCTTGGCCTACGTGGGGGAAATGCCTGACGGGAAAATGCCCCCAGACTCTCTAGTCATTTTTCCTCACTGCCTCCTTTCCTTGATTCCTGACAGCTCAGTTTCTAGGGGCCACAGGACGCCTTTCTTATCTCTTTTACTCACTTATAAGTTTCAGTTACCCTTCTCGGGGAGGGATTTCCAACCCCTCCCCCTAGCCCCCAACTAGAGGCCTTCAGTCTAACTAAAGAGAACAAAACATCCCAGGATCACTGCTCCCCCCTTCAGGCAGCAGAAGAGACATCCTTTCTGGTAGCAGAAGAGACATCCCTAGTGAGATGAGAACAATCCACCAGAGCCTGTGTGGGTGCCCAAGGTCATGGTGACACATGTTACCAGTGGCTCAGGATGTCCTCCCAGCTGTCTGGCCCAGCTCTGCTGTGGCCCAGAGGCAGGGGCTCACACAAGAACGCCAGTCCTCGGGCCTGGGCGTGGGAGGATGACTCCTCGCACTTTCCTTACTGTCTGAAGAGCACAGGGTTGTGACACAAGCTGTGCAGCCTGGCTGTGGCAGCGAGGGGACCCCTGCCCTGTCCCTGCATGCTCCCCTTAGAATTCATCACGACAGACAACAGAGCCAGGAGCCAAAGAGCCTAGAGGGAGCCCAGAGCTCGGGTTATCAGTTCTGCAAATGAGGTCAGCTAGACACCTCTGTATTTGGAGAACAACAAAACCACCCAGTCCCAGCCCACGCCCACCCCAGCAAAGGGAAACCCTGTTTCAGTAGCCACCTTATAAAGGGAGCCTCTCCCATCTAAATAAGGCAGGGAGCAAAACTCATCCGTGTGGTCACACCCTGTCTGCTCACACCCTCCCTGGCCTTGTCTCCCCAAAGCCAGAGAACCGCAGACATATACGTTTGCTTCAGTTTATCCCTACCTGCATATCTGGGATGCTTCTCTCAAGCTTCCTGAGTTTTGGAGTCACTGACAGGTAAGTGTGTGCACGTGTGAATGTGTGTGGGGCGAGGCGAGGGTTCGTGTCCTGGCCTGAGGAGCACAACTACCAGAGAGCTCGTCTGTGGGGTTACCTGGTCTTGATTTGCCCCTGCAGAGAACAGTCATGGCTGGGCCTCCCCTACACCAAGCACCGTCCTATCTCTTCCGATGTCACATCCTTGTGGAAAGGATCTGCCACTGCCCTCCTTGGATGAATGAGGAAACTGCTTGCCTCAGGTGCCAGGTGAAAGGGGAAGAGCCGGGATTCAGATCCAGGCAACTTCACTGCAGGGCCTGCCTTTCCCCTGCGCTCGACTGCCCCCCTCTCTCGCTATCGGAAATAATCTTATTTGTTTACTTGTTTATTGTTTGTCTCCCTTGACCCAGGCACTCACTCCATGAGGGCCAAGGCCCTGGCTGGCCTCTGTGCCGTTATGTTCCCAGAGCTTGGAACACAGTGATGCTCTTTCGCACTCACGGGTCACCTCTGGAGGTTGCTAGGGGACCAACTCATTATTCTGAAAACTGCATTTATCCTGCCTTCCCTGAACAAATTATACCTCACAGTAACCAAATCGTTACTGAAGGAAAGGTCTTTTTAGAAGCATCCTAGCCAATACATGAGGAAGGAATGACAGATGAGACATCACTCCTCTGCGGCCCACAATGAAACAGTGGATCTAGACATGTGAGAGGGCGGGCTGAGGTGAATGTATGACGAAGGGCCAGGTCGCCACCATCTGACCCCTCTGCTTGCCCTCAGCGTCACTCACAGAGGGACACCAGACAGGCAGTGCCTCCGCACGGATGCACACCTAGAAGAGCAGTGGCCGAAAGACATTCAACCACAACCTGATCAAGCTTCCACCTCAAACTCTAGTTTGCTGAAAACACCCATGCTAGAGGAACAGGAGGAACTCCATGGGGAGGCAACCAGTGGAAGCCAGGACGTGGGAAATTCTAAAGACTGGTGGTGACCCTGGTTCTTTCCAAAATAAACTACAAGGAAAAAAAAAAAACAGATGGAAGAGAATCTTACAGATTAAAAGGCCCTTAAGAGACACATCAATCAAACACAACAGGAGGAACCTGATAAACAAAACAGCTGTTTTTTAAAAATGACATATTGGCTGGGTTCGGCGGCTCAGTCAGTAATCCCAGCACTTTGGGAGGCTGAGGCAAATGGACTGCCTGAGCCCGCGCGTTCAAGACCAGCTCGGGCAACTTAGCGAGACCTCGTCTCTACAGTAAAATAAAAAATAGCCGAGAGTGGTAGCGCGTGTCTGTAGTTCTGGCTACTTGGAAGGCTGAGGCGGAAGGATCGCTGGAGCCCAGAAGGTCGATGCCAGGGTGGCTGTGACTCTGTACTACAGCCTGGGTGACA